AGATGGTTGGGTTCCAGAGATATCTTTGTAGGGCACCAATCTCTTTTGGGATTCAATTGGGAGTCTCTGGACCAAGGTTGTTGGTGCACCAAGATGGCCCCCAGCAGAAGCTTGTGGGCATGACACTTAGGCCAAGGAGCGGGATGCCTGGTGCCTCTGCAGCCATGCAGGCTGGAGATTTAGTCCTGGTACCCACATAAGTGGGCCCTGCTTGTGGAAGCTCTTGGACGCCAGGGTTCCATCTGGAGTAGGCGAGGAGACAGTACCTGCTCCATCTGGGGTGGCCTGGCAAATTAGCTCAGTATGGGGCCCAGAGGCTATTTCCTCATGTGAAACTCAGGAAAAAAATTAGTTTTGACAGAAGTTGGAGGTTGATGGAACAGATTAATCTCTACAAGCCCCATCTCAAAAATCTACTCTGGGGGCCAAAGCAATAGTACAACAGGTAGGGCAGGGCATTTGCCCTGAACAGGGCCAAACTGGGTTCAATCCCTGGCACCCCATATGGTCCCCTGAATAGCACCAGAAGAGAACCCTAAGCACATAGCCAGGAGTAAGCCCTGAGCCCTGATGGTTGTGCCCCCCCCGCAAAAAAAATGTCATTAAAAAATCAAGATTGTACTCTAACACATTATATGAGCTTGAAATGAGGACTTGATTTCTACCATCTTTCTACCCAGGTCAAAGACAGCACGTGGCCAGGATAGGGCACTCACCTTGCATGTAAGAGTTAATAGAGACAACCCAGATACTCTGGTTGGTATGTGTGATGCCGTGTATATTTCTGAAACGTTAAATATTAAGAGTCTGGAGATAAAACAGAGGACAGATGTCTCCCTATTAGCATGTGGCCAAATCGTTAAAATTCCCAGCATAGCATATAGTCCCCTATGCACCCAGGAATAGCCACTGGCCACTACTAGGTGTGAGAGAGAAAGAAAGGGAGGGAGGGAGGGAAGGAGGGAAGGAGGGAGGGAAGGAGGGAAGGAGGGAAGGAGGGAAGGAAGGAAGGGAGGGAGGGAGGGAGGGAGGGAGGGAGGGAGGGAAAAAAGCTGCACTTTTAAAGTGCAGCTCAGAGGTTTGGGAGACAGCTTAAGGGGCTTTGCATTCAGGAAGTTCAATTCAACCCCCTATGTACATGGTGCCCGCCAACACTTGAATATCCCTGGGAATAGACGATAAGCACTGAAGGCGTGGCCCCAAACAAAAGAAAGATAACTATTATAAGTTTGAGCACTTATCCAACAGACTGGTCTCTGAGTTTCACTATTTCTTAGATGAACTTTCATTCCCTCTCTTAGAAAATCTGAAAAGCTGAGTCAAAGAGATAGCTCAACAGGCTAAACACATGTTCTGCCCATGAAAAGCTCAACTTTTCCCAGCATCTCAAGGCTCTCCAGTATACTGAGAACATCAGCCACTGCCCCAGGCAAGATCGGATGGGGGGGGGGGGGGATCCAGGTGCTAGATAAAACGCAGGGACTTTTCCTGGTATGCAGCTGACCCAGGTTCGATCCCTGAAAACCCATATGGTCTCCTGAGCCCCAACAGTTGAGATCCCTGAGTGTAGAGTGCAGAGTAATAAGCTGTGAGCACAATTAGGTGTGCCCCCCCCCCACAAAAAAGGGGAGGAGGAGATAGCAGCCTCAGGTGCAACTGGGGATGCTTTCTATTTGCTTAAAGAAAGTACATTTTCAGGGCGGGGTGCGGAGTAATTTTTTTTTTGCATTTTATTTTTTAATTGAACCACCATGAAATACAGTTACAAGGTTTTTCATGATTGGGTTTCAGTCATACAATATTCCACTACTCATCCCTTCACCAGGGTACATTTCCCACTACCAATGTTCCCAGTTTCCCTCCCATCATCCTCCTGACCTGCTCTCCCACCCCAGCCTGCTACCAGGCTGAATAATTATATTTTTTGCTTTTTGAGTCACACCCAGAACTGCACAGGGATTACTCCTGGCTCATGCACTCAGGAATTACTCCTGGTGGTGCTTGGGGCACCATATGGGATGCTGGGAATCAAACTCAGTTTGGCCACATGCAAGGCAAATGCCCTACCCACTGTGCTATCGCTCTAGCCCTGAATAATTTTCTAAGGGGGAAATAGGCAAATAACTTTCAGAACCTCTGACCTAAAGCAATGCTTAGCAAAAAGTACCACAGGGTTGGGTTCTGACCCTGACTCTGAGAACTGGTGCATGCAATTCTTAGTGTCTTAATTCCTCATGTATGACAAAGTCTCTGGGTGTTAATGTGAGAATTGACATGTAATGGGTCTAAATCCATAAAGTACTTGACACACACAAGAAAGGTACGGGAGAAAGCTGCAGCTCTCGTTATCCTAACAACACATGTGCACTGTTAGCTTCCTCCCTTATCACAGCAATACTAATACATGACAGAGGCCACAAATTAGTCTTTGAAGGCAACCATTTCCAACCCCTGAGCTCCTCCTACAATCTCTAGGACAGTAAGAACATCTCACAACCAAAGGCCTCCCTCCCTACTCAGGATTGCTCACTACTGCAAACGTTCTTTTAACATATAGTTTGAGCTGAACACTGATAAAATGTTTCAAGGAATGTGTTCTTTGGTGCACTCAGAGACCACTAATGAAAATACAAGAAGACTCAGAGACCACCAATGAAAAACAATGCTAATGTTTATCATGCGTCTACAAGGTGCAAGCGGAACAGTAATTAGCTAAGGGTAATGTGGGCATTGAATGGCAGTCAACCTAAGAGCCTTTTAGGAATAGTTGGATATACAAATATACCCATCACAAGAGCCACCACACCAAAATCCAAAGAAACTGAAGTGGAACCCTAAGCTCTTTAGACCAGAATTTCTTAAAACTTTTCCCACCAGTGACCCCATTTCTTAAAAAACGCAACATGGGCAAGCTCTGCCAGAAACTCCTTAGATTCGTAATACACAGTTAATATTGAATTTTTGGTATTTTTGTGTTCAAAAAACTCTTCCAGTTACAAAATGTTTAGCAACCCCACATCCAGTTATTCAATCACAATCCCAGAGTTTAAGAACAGGAAATGTAGAAGACTTCATGGAGACTGAAGAAATAATACAGAAGGCAGAGCGTTTCCCTTGCACGCAGCTGACCCAGGTTTGATCCCAGGCACCCATATGATCCCTGAGCCCAAAGCCAGAAGACTTGAGCACTACTGGGTGTGGACCAAAAACAAACAAAAAAGACTGGAGAGATAATATAACAGGTAAGACGCTTGTGTTGCATTCAGTCGACTAGGGCTCAATCTCCAGCACCCCCATATGGTCCCCTGAGCTCAGCCAGAAGTGATCCCTGAGTGTAGAGCCAGGAGTAAGCCCTCAGTACTGTTGGCGATAGCTCCAAAACCAAAGTCAAAACCAAAATTATATATAATTAAAAAAATTAAAAGACATTCCAGGGAATGTCCTAATCCTGAGCTACATGTTTATGAGCTACACAGCCTCTCAAATAGAAAGTTATACAGTCAGGCCACCTCTGACGTGGAAGAACACAGAAAAACTCCAAATAAACCACCCATTGAGATGAATGGTAGGTATACCATTAAAATAATAATAATAATAGTCCTCCCGTTGTTCATCGATTTGCTCAAGCGGGCCCAGTAACGTCTCCATTGGAGACCTTGTTGTTACTGTGTTTGGCATATCGAATACATCACAGGTAGCTTGCCAGGCTCTGCCCTGGGGGCGAGATACTCTTGGTAGCTTGCTGGGTTCTCCGAGAGGGGGGGAGGAATCGAACTTGGGTCAACCATGTTGGCTTCGTGCAAGGCAAACACCCTACTGCTGTGCTATCGCTCCAGCCCTTGCGAGTTAAAATATATAAGGCCTTAACTAAGCACACTATTTTTCTTTCTTGCAGCCCTCTGTTTTTATTAAGATATAATTGACATAAAACTTCTATTAGTATATGGCCTTCTATACATATATATCCCAAAATGATCACCACAATTTAATTAGCATCTCTCACCTCACATGGTTACATTTTTTCTTATGATGGGAACTTAAAAGATCTACTCTTGGACTGGAGAAATAGTTCAAAGGGCTGGGAATATGCTTTGCAGTCTCCAGAGCACCACCAGGAGTAGTGGCTGAGGTGTAGCTCCAAACCTCTCCCCCTCCCCAAATCTACCCTCTTAGCAACGTTCAAATCAAGCACCAACCAATCTATAGGTAAACGCTACTCCACTATCTCAACAACTTGTCTAAGTTCCTACATAAGTACCCATAAGTACTGTGTGTACTATGGGTACTTATGGCAGCCAAAAATTATCTTCTCATATCTTATGTCTGGCTTACGTCTATTCTCCGTGGTTTCCCTAACACCTTGAATAACTCCTTATAAAACCGTACTCAAATTTGGTAGCAAATGAGTTCCAGTTTTTCAGTGGTCAGAAAGGTTGAACTGGAAGCACCCCCAACTCTGAGATGGGAGGAGTCTAGCACTTCTGACACTCTACAGAATCGAGCAAAGGGTCCCAAATTCAAAAGTGCCGCCGCCTTCTGAACATCCTTTTAAAGAAGTCTTGGAGTGTACCAATGCAAAACGGGAGGAGGCGCTGAGCTGAGTCTGAAGTGTACCAGTTCGGACCAGTAGCCACGAGAAAACCTGTAGCCACACCACTACTTCCGGAGGACTGAAACAAGGCGGGTGAGCCGGATGCAGGTGGCCGGCGGGAAACTGTGAGGCCAGCGGCTGGCAATCAGCTCCGTACGCGCCACTTTTGGAGGGCGGGGGCAGTGGCCAGGATCACTTACACTTAGGCCAGTACCGCTCCGGCCAGAGTGGGAGCCGCGCAAAGAGGAGGCAGCTGGCATCTAAATTTGGGGAGAACCCCGTCAAAGAGTGCAAGAACCTGTTAGGATTCGAGTCATAGCAGGAAGCACAGGATCGGCTGTACTACTCTACAGCCGGACAAGGGGTCCAGGCTGGGTCGTAAGCAGGGCCGCAGCCGGGTTTATCTCACCAGAGCCATTGGGTCCAATGATGGCGGTGAACCTCTGAAATGGTCCGATAATCTGTCGACCCTTGTAAGACTTAAAGTTCTCGATCTCAATCAATTTCAGGAAACCCATGACGGCTGCGGCGCCGGCGGCGGTACGAAAGGCCGCGCCGTACGCCCAGGAACTGGGGTGACACGCGCGGGAAACACCGCAGTGCAGGCCGGACAGTAGGCAAACCTCGCGAGAATAAGGCTTAAAGGAACGGGCTTTCCCACTTCCGGCGCGAGCGAGAACCAGGGTTTTGTTGATCCGTTGCCAAGGTGCGAGATTATGACAGCCATTTCACCCCGCCCCTCTGTTCTTGTTGCTTAACAACGCAAAGGAATTTTGAGGCTGTGTCCCTAGGAGAGGTGGTGCAGGGAGCACAGCAGCTTCAGGGGTCGAGAAAGAGGGTGGGGCCAGAGCCCACCCTTGCTGAGGCGTGTCAGAAGTCACAGCAGTGTGATGCCCTCCAGTGCAAGAAGGTGGGAACTCGGCGCAAGCTGCTGGTTTTAAGGTTCAACATACAACGAGGTGGGACGTGGGGTGGGGCGCAGAGGCGGGGGCGGGGGGGGGAGATGGAAGGATGAGTGAGGTAGAGGGCTATAGGGAACGGAGGCAGCGGGAAGACCTTGCTGAGGATGGAGTGCTGTAGGATTGGAGGTAGGATGGTGTATGAATGGGATGAAGTACTCAGAAGTGATATGAATATGGGTTGAGGACTGTCCAGTCCTCTGTCTCCCACTGGTTCCACCAACAGACTACCTCTGTGATTCTAGTCTTGGATCTAAGTCGCTTGTTGACTTCTTGAATCTAATCTTGGAACTTCAAAATTAGGACTTTTTTTTTTATTTTCATTCTCTTCATCTGTTTTGCTTCATACCTAATCCCCAACCCAGTGTCTGTTCTCCATCACATCCAGCTCCTTTCCTTGCTTTCAGGATCCTCTTCTCTCTCTGCTCTCTATCCTCCACTGCTGACCTCCAACCTGTTACTCTCTTTCCATTTCTGTCCCTCCCCCTTTCCCTACTCTTTCTTTTTTATCCCTCTCCTCCGTACCATCATCACCCCTACCTTACTTGCTAAACCAATGACCAAAAGAATTCAAGAAACTATAATGTCTGCCAGATCTTTCCCTCAGCATCCTTATATTTCGGTGAATCATAGAATGGGTAAACCAGGGTGGGTGCTTAGACTTAGAAACAGGAAAAGTCTGAAGGTTGCCATAGCCATTCCTATAATTTTTTGTTGCTTTTCTTGGCCACACCCGGCTCAGGGTTTACTCCTGTCTCTATTTTTAGGGATCACTTCTGGAAGTTCTTGAGGTGCTAGGGATTGAACCTGGGTTGGCTGCATGCAAGAGAAGCACCCTAACCACAGTAGTATTACTCCAGCCCTGTTGTAATTATTTTTAAATGATGGCTAAACTGGAAAGAGTCTTAAAGTTTTAGGATAAGTGCAGGAAATTAAGAAACCTTGGTTGATGGAATCTAATATAGAAGCCATAAATCAGGTTCAATTGCAAGAAGCAAGAGGAGGTAAAAGTATCAACAGACAACAATGCTAGAAACAGGGAAGATAGTTTACTCCTGACCCTGTTTTCAGGGATCAGTCCTCAAGGACCTTATATGATACTTGGGCTTAAACTTGGGTTGGCCTTGTGCAAGGCAAGCACCTGAGCACTGCCAGGCCCAAAAATAAAAGAGTACTGATGATCATCTATTTTCTGGGTGCTTCTTGTGGAAGATTAACAGGTATTAATTTTGCTGTGATTTTAACATACAGGTGTTGACTACATTACTTTGTATGTATCAGTTGTTAAACAAAATATTAAGATAAAAAGATAATCCACAAATTGCAGGTTTGTCACATTTATTTAGGTCTGGGGACTCAGCTTTTCCACTGACTCACATACCCAGCTGTTTACTATATTTTAAAATTTATTTTAATCCACACCTGCCAGTGTTCAAGACTTACTCTTGGTTCTGCACTCCTAGCAAGGTTTGGGGGATTATATGAGTTCTAGGGTTTGAATCTGGGTTGGCCACATGCAACACAAGCTTGCTACCTACTGTACTATCTCTCCAGCCTGTTTGCCACATGTACATAAAGAAATGGGGCTGGAGAGATAGTCCATGGATTAAAGTACTTGTCTTCTATGTGACAGACTCCAGTTTGATACCCTGCACTGCATATGGTCCCCTGCGCACTGCCAGATTAGCCACACAAAATAGACTCCCCTGTGGAAAAGAAAAATAATCAAACAGCGTTTAGACTACATAATTTGTGTGATTCCCTTTAAGGCCAATGCATTTATTGTCCCCTCTACCTAGAGTGCTCTCCTAGACAGCTGGGGCTACATTTTGCTTATTTTCTTTTGGGGGCACATGGTGGCTGTGCTTGGGGGCTACTCCTGGCTAGGTACTTGGGAGTCACTCCTGGAAGTGTTCCATGGACCATGCAATGCTGGGGGTCAAACCCAAGTCTTGGACTTATAAACACTGGGAGCCATTCACTTTAAAGCTGAATTTAGGGGCCAGAGTAATAATATAGTGGGTAGGGCCTTTGCTAACCCTAATTCAATCCCCAGTGCCCCATAGCCCTGCCAGAAATGAGTCCTGAGAACTGCTGGGTGTGTTCCAAAAAATGAGTTTATTTTGGGTGAGGGCTCCCAAGCAGTTTGCAGCAATTCTTACTTGGACCAGCATTTCAGTGATCAGAGACTATGTGGTGCAAAAGATAGAACCTGGGTCAGCTATATGCAAGGCATATGCCTTAATCCCTGTATTATCTCTCCAGTCCTTAAAGCTTATTTTGAAGATTTTAAGCAAAAGCCTGCCATGGTCAGAATCAATGCTTTGAGAATGACTCTGATAACTAGAGAAAGAACTCAAAAAGGTAAGATTATAGAAAGGCCAATAATGTTTCTGTCTGGTACCTGATTTTGAGCCTGAATTAGGTAATAACAGAGGTTGAAAGACACAGATATAAAAGATATCAGGAACTAAAAAAGGGAATCAGTAAGTACTGAGATACTATGGGGAAAGAAAATTGAATAGGGTTTGAATCTGGGTTGGCCACATGCAACACAAGCTTGCTACCTACTGTACTATCTCTCCAGCCTGTTTGCCACATGTACATAAAGAAATGGGATGATTATAGTAAAGGATGATAATCAGCACTGCCTACTCTACTTTACTCTGGCTACAGATGTATAGGCTAAACCTGCCACAAGATCCCAAGGAGGTGGCAGCTATTGAGGCTAGACGACACCGAGAAAAGGAGCGACAGGCCCGATTCCTCAATGTGCGGACCCGAGTCATTGGGGTGAGTAGATAGCAGACTTTCTCAGGATCACCTGGCTCTTGCACCTAGAGAAGAACTTAGCAGTGTGTGTTATAGCACTTCTCCCTGATTTGGACAGTCACTAGAGCAAGAAGGAAGAAGGCACCTATCCTGAGGCATGGGAAGGGACTAAGGGTGCAGGGGAAGGTACTGGGGAAGAGGACCTAGTCAGTTTACTCTTCTCTGATCAGGAATGACCCAACTGGCCTGAATCTGTTTTGGGTTTGTTTTGGAATGACACCCTAGTGGTACTCTTGGCTTTTTTCTGTCTCTACACTCAGGAATCACTCCTGGTGGTACTCAGGGGACCATATGGGGTGCTGGCAATCAAATCTAGATTGGCCACATACAAAGCAAGCTCTCTGCCTGCTCACTCTGGCCCCTAGTTCTTTTTTGTGGGGGTTGTGGCATCTTAGGCCGTATCAGGTAAAAATTGGGGTCTACTCCTATTCAGTGCTGTAGAGACTATATGGTGCTAGCAATCTAGTCCAGGGCTCCCACACACAAAGCACATAATTCAGTCCTTTGCACCATCTCCCCAATTTGGAGTGGACTTACTCCTAACAGACAAACAACAGGGAGCCAAAAGAAGTCATAGAAATAATTTGTTGGGGTTGGAGTGATAGCACAGCGGGTAGGGTGTTTGCCTTGCACGCAGTCAACCTGGGTTCGATTCCCAGCATCCCATATGGTCCACTGAACACCGCTAGGAGTAATTCCTGAGTGCATAAGCCAAGAGTAACCCCTGTGATTCGCTGGGTATGACCCAAAGAGCAATAAATTAAAATAAAATAATTTGTTATTGTAGATGCCTACATACTCTCTGGAAGGCTACATAAAAATGGTAACAGAACTATGGCGAGAGTTGGGAGGATACTTACTTTTCTGTAGTCCCTTTCACATTATTTTGAGATATTTCAAAGAATTGTCAAAATAAATAAAGAGACTAAATGGATGACTTAAGAAAATTAGATTTCTGATCTAAGAAGATAGCTCAAGACAGGATTACATGCCTGTCATTCACAAGGCCCTTGGCTCTGTCCCCAGCATTGTAGGGCCTTCTGAGCACTGCTAGGTAGTAAGCACTGGCACCACTGTGGAGACCTCCCAAGGAAATAATTTGTAATCTCCGAGTTCCAGACTCCTCTGTAAACTGAGGCAAAATAAAGGAAGTGTTGAGATTAGTATTAACATATGGTGGCAGCTCTGGAAACCAGACCATAGTGCCTGACACAAGTAAGTAGGTGGCTGAGGGGTAAGTGGATAATTGAGATTCTATTGGCAAGTATTTTCTCAAGGTATGCTTTCTGCCATGCATTGAATTTGGCAATAGGGACAGATACAAGGCTGACTAAAGCCAGTTTCTTCCCTCAATATGTTCAGAGTCTGGTGGAGGAGATAATTTATAGAGGTAAACTTCAATATAAAGTTTAGGGCTGGAACAGTAATGCAGTGGATAGGGTGCTTGCCTTGCACGCAGCTGGCCTGGGCTCAGTCTTGGTACCATATATGGTCTCCCCATCCCTTTCAGGAATGGTCCCTAAGTGCAGAGCCAGGAGTAAGCCCTGAGCACCACTAGGTGTGGCCCAAAACCAGTAAGCATGTGTGTGTAATTCTATGGGAATAGCACTAACATAAGTTTCAGATGAAGAGAGAAGGCAGAGCAAAGGCTCTCAGTTCAAAGAAGTCAAAGCTCTGTGGGTACTGTTAACTCATAGCTGCTGAGGGTAGGACAGAAGAGGGTACTGAGATGAGGCTGGAGAAGGAGACAGAGGCTAAACCAGAGGTTCACAGACTCATTTGGTCTACTCACCTTTTTTTTGTTTTTGGGGTCCCACCTGGAGCTGTTCAGGGGCATTCAGAGGACTATCAGTGCCAGAGATTGAACCCAGGCCTCAGCATGCAAAGCATATGCTTAGCCCATTGAGCTATCTCTCTAGCCCCTGGCCTACAACCCCCTTTTGAGAAACAGTTACTCACCAACCTCTTAGATATCTAGGTTCTCAAAGGGAACAAAGAGAAAGTGCCCCCACCCCTACCAGTTGCACCAGAGGTTACTACAACCAATGTGAATTATTCCAGTACCCACTGGGGAGGCAGTATCACTTTCAGAAACACTGGGCTAGACAACTGAGGTCCAAAACAAAGCTTATTGATGGAACATTGCCAAGTAGGTATGTGGGATCTTGGAGAGTATTTTAGGGGTCACACCTAACTATACTCAGGTGTTACCCCTGGCTCTGCACTCAGGAATCACTCCTGGTGGTGCGCGGGAGAATATATGGGATGCCAGGGATCTAACCAGGTTGGCCTAGTATAAGGCAAGCACCCTACCCACTGTAGTTTTGCTCTGGCCACTGAAAGAGGATTTTGAAGCAGGATTTTAAATTCTGAGCTGTTTGCAAGACTATCAAGAGCTTCTTTCAGAACTTCTACACTAACTTAAGTCCTTTCTTTGGCACCAGGTGGACATTGATGCCCTGAATAAACAGGTAGAAGAGAAAAAGCATCAGGAGGCAAGGGAGCAAAGCAAGGAGGCAGCTTATGGTAAAAGAGGCTCAAGGACAGGGCCTAAAGGGGTGAAAAGTAAAGGCCTAAAGGGGTGAGGGAGGACTGTTGTGCCTCAGAGTGGGACCCAAGAACTGGGATGTGATGGGATAAACCAGATGAACCTAAAAGCAGAGGCTATGCCAAGTGGGCTCTATTCTTCCTTTGGTGCTTCCTCAAAGTACCTTCCCACCACCCCAGCTAACAACCAGGTGAAGTATGATATGGTAGCCCAGATGCTAGAGAAAGAACAAGCAGAACGGACACGCCGGCTGGCCAAGAAAATCCAGGACTTTCGGGAGCAGAAGCAGCAGCTCAGGAACCAGCGTGAATTTGACCTATGGGATCCAAACCAACTCAAAAAGGAGTTTCCAGCCCGTGTAGGTGATTATGATCCCCGTTGTGGCCCATCTAGCCTTCAGTGCTTCTCTGGAGAGGACCTGGACAGGGCCACACGTCTGAGAGTGCAACAAGAGCAGTTGAGATACAACCTGGAGAACCAGCTCCAAGAGCAAAACCAAGCGAGAGCTGAGGAAAAATGTGCAGGTAAGCAGCCAGGCTATTTAGGCTCAGAGACCTGTTGCCTGTTGGGTATTAGGCTAGAGCCAGTCACAGCACCTAAGTCAAAACTGTGTGGGGAGTTGCACTTACCCATAGGTGAATGATGAAAAAGGTAGGACAGCTGAGACTACCAGTGCCTGAGAACAACTGGTTAAAGAATCTATGGTGCATCTATACAGTAGAATACTGTGCAGCTGTTAGAAAAGATAAAGTCATGAAAATTTATTACAAATGGATGGCCATGGAGAGTATCATGTTAAGTGAAATGAGTCAGAGAGGGAAAGACATAGAATAACTGCACTCATTTGTGGAATATAAAATAACATGAGACTAACATCCAAGGACTGTAGAGACAAGGGCCAGGAGGATCACTCCATGGTGCTGGGGAGAAGGCAGTTGGGATGGAGAAGGGACCACTAAGTCAATAATGATTGGAGGGATCACTCGGAATGGGAGACCTGTGCTGAAAGAAGACTAAGGACCAAATATGATGGCCTCTCAGTACCTGTATTGCAAACCATGATGACCAAAAGTAGAGAGATTAAGAAGGAAGGTGCCTGCCACAGAGGCAGGAGTTAGAATGGGGTGGGGGTAGCAGAAGGGATACTGGTGACATTGGCGGTGGAAAATGTACACTGGTAGAGGGATGGGTGTTCGATCACTGTATGAGTGAAAATCATAAAAGCTTTGTAACTGTATCTCATGGTGATGCAATAAAAAATTTTAAAAGACAGTTGGGGTTACTCTTAAGACACTTAGGGCTACTCCTGACTCTATGCATTGCCATTCCTAGTGGTGATAGAAATCATAAAATCCAGGCCTCTGGCATGCAAAGCATATTCTCCATCCCTTTGAGCTGTCTGCCCGGCCCCATGTTACTACTTTCCTGTCTTACTTCCCTCAAACATTATAGTCTCAGTAAGACCTTACTTTTTTGTCTTACCTAAGCTCACTACCTACCCCTAAACATTTATCTCTGCCCTGATTTATATTTTTCCCTAGCATTTGACATACCATCAAAAATTCTCTACATTTTGCTTATTTTTTTGTTTTTTGGGATCCACACCCAGAAGTACTCAGGGGTTACTCCTGACTCTGAGCTCAGGTATCACTCCTGGCAGTATTTAGGGGGTCATATGTGCTACTCGGGATTGAACATGGATTGGCCATTTGTAAGGTGAGCACCTTAGCCACTGTACTATTGCTCTGATCCTGCTTAATTATTTTGTCTATTGTTTTTCTCCTACCTAGAAAGTATCCTTTGTGAGGACAGGGATTTATTTTTGTGGTGGAGGACACACTGGGAGATTCTTGGGGGTTACTCCTGGGTCTGCATTCAAGAATTACTCCTGATGGTGCTCAGGGGACCATATGGCAACAGTCACCATTGAGATCCAGATTCACTGGAGGTATCTTTCAGTTAGGCTCTTAACAAATCATTGTTGCTATTTTAGCTTCCCGTAGTCCCAAAGAGTTCCTTCTACATCCCTACAATTAGGACATTAGGCACACCCAACCCCTGCAAACATACTTGCTCACATAGCCACAAAGCTTATTGAGCAAATAGGTAAATGGATCAGGAAGAAGCAGGCCAGTACAGTGTTCCAGTTCATATTTTTCTATATAGATATACTCAGTGACCAGCTGCGCCTAGCCATGGACATGCAAGCTACCCATATGGCCAGGCTGGAGGAATCCTGTCGCATAGCCATGATGACTGCTATGGCCAACGCCAACAAAGCCCAGGTACTGAAATACCATGTGGACTGGGCTCTCCTGCATCCCTTGAACCAATTCCTAGAGTAAATCCAGCCACATCTTAACTCCCTTCAGGAAGGTTATACCTTCTTGAATCAATAATAGCCCTTTCACCTATCTTAGGCTCCCCAACTTCACCTACAGGACAGAAACCTTTCTTCACCTCCAGATTCAGGACCTTGAGAATAGAACACAGGCCTCCCTTCCCCAGCCTCTAAGTCTGTTGGCTTCTAGATGACAAGCCAATACCTGCTGACTACCTTAGGTCTGTTTTTCTATCCCTGACATAGAGAATAGGGACATGTCTCTCCCTCCCCCTCATAACTGAGTATTCCCTAAGATGGGGTATTTGGTCACTCCACCAGGCAGCTGAGGTAGCTGAGAGGCGGCGCCATGAGCATCAGCACCAAAAGGCAGCCAACCTCTCAGAGATCCAGAAACATGTCACCAGTGACCTTCTTACTGAGAACCCACAGGTTGCCCAGCATCCTACGGATCCCAATCGGGTCCTGCCTTATTGCTGGAAAGGCATGACTGCAGAGCAGCGCGCTGCCATCAGAAAAGTCCAGGAGAGACAACGCCATGAAAAGGAGATGCAGCGCCAGGTTGACCACGCAAGGGAGAGAGATTGGGATAGGCAGGCTGTATGCTTGGCTCAGGCAGCAATGGAGCTAGAAGAGCAGGAGAAGGAACTGTGTGATGAATTTCGGAGAGGCCTAGGCTCCTTCAACAAGCATATGGCTAAGGAACAAAAAGCCCAGTGAGTTCTAGGGGATGGGTGGCAGTAAGAATGAATGCCAAGGGGGAGGGTGTGGGAGGACAATGAGGGCTTGGGCAGGGGAAAGTTCACTAACTAAAACCTCTGAACTTCTTTCACAGGCAGAATTATCTTAATTCAATTGTCCACACCAATAAGCCTGCAGCCCAGTATTTCCTACAGTCCCACATGAGCAACCATTAAATTTGGATACCCATCTCTCCCTTCTCCTACAATAAGCTCATAGAGTGTGAAGCATCAGATAAGAATACCCCATTCCCAAATCCATTTCCCAAGGGAGAGAGCTGACCCCCTATCCCTACCTTTGATATTAACAATAAAACTATTCATTAAAATCAAGGACATGTGCTGTAATAGGCCATAAAAGATGCAAAGTACACTCTTTCCCACCAAAACCAGGGGTTCCGAGCACCCAACCCTTTAATCTTTACCATTCACTTTTATTCCCCCCTCCAGCATTCCCAGACACAACACTGCCCACTCCCTGTGATGAATAGAAACTTTATTAGGCACAGAGGGTGACTGTTGGGGTACTGCTGGGCTTCCACCCAAGCTAGAGTGTAGTAGCCCATGGAAAGGACAGGCAGAGGATCATGTTTTTTTCTCTGCCTTCCCCCTTCAAGGCTGCATTCGGATGGCCCCATCTAGACGGATGACTTCTCCATTGATGAATGGGTTCTCGATGATGGCCTGTACCATATGAGCATATTCAGCAGGGTCGCCCAGTCGACTGGGGAAGGGCACCTGGCTGGCCAAAAAGTTGCGAACTTTCTCTGGGAGGCTGGTCAACAGTGGGGTGCCAAACAGGCCTAAAGAAGATAGCTAGAGTCAGAGCCTTGCCTTTATATTTACCTAGTTACTTCTCACCATAGTACTTCCCTATGGCTTAGAGATGGAGGGCTACTGCTACTGAGATAGTGAATACTCTCCCCTCTGAATTGCCTATGGACCCCAGATAATCCCAGTAGTGGCAAGGAGCAGACGTCTACCTGGAGCAATAGTCATCACCCGGATGCCCATGGGAGCCAGATCTCGAGCAATGGGCAGAGTCATTCCCACTATGCCTCCCTTGGAAGCAGAATATGCAGCTTGTCCAACCTGCAGAATAAGTGGTAGTTTTAGGTAGGAGACCCCCAACAAGTGACTGTGGAGGCATAAGCCTTGCCTTTGCCTACACACCTGGCCCTCGAAGGCAGCCACACTGGCAGTATTGATGATGACCCCACGTTGTCCTCCCTGGTCCGGTTCATTCTGGCCCATCTCACCAGCCACCAAGCGGATCACATTGAAAGTGCCTATCAGATTCACCTGGAGGACCAGTAGAAATATCGTGTAGGGCTTGAGACACGAACATTTTGTCCCCTAAAAACTCTGGAGGCACAATCATATAACTATTACTCCTACCATAAAGTTCCTCTTAGGCTTACATTGAGAACTCGCTGGAAGTCCTCCAAAGTATGAGCCTGGCTTCTCTTTGAATTGTATGTCTTTATGGCGACTGCAATGCCTGCACAGTTGACTGCCACATCCACACGGCCAAATTTTTCTTTTGCTAGAGTCAGGGCTGCCTGCACGTCCTTCTCTGAGGTCACCTTCAAAGGGAGAAGTAGATATTCATCTTCCAGCACACAGACACTGCCAATAAGCCTGGAGGAGGGAGGGCAGGCCTAGAGCTTGAAAGACAACAGAACTGTGTAAGCAAGGGAGGAGCCTAGAGAGAAATATCAAGAGTGGGACAAAGGTGAAAAATGAAGGCTTAGGCCACAAGGAGAAGGAGATGATTTCAACCCCCACAAAAATGGCACGGGTATTGGTGGAGTCCCATGGATTCCCAGACACATGTATGGGGCATCATGAACTTTTGAAGAGGTGAGGTAACCCCACTTACATCGGTTGGAGAAAAGGCACAGCTCTTCCCTAATTTCTTGGCTTGGGCCTCCCCATCTGAGTTGGGCAGGTCCAGAAGCATGGCAGAGGCACCTTGCCCCACCAGTCGCTCTGCAGTGGCCAGACCTAGGCCTGAAGCTCCTCCCGTTATTACAGCGACCAGGCCCTACGAAAAGGGGCATGGTCAGGGTACTACGGCCCACCCTCACCGTTCCTCAGTTCGTTCTTTGGCTTCTTCAAGAGGCTCCGGTCACACCTGCGGTCGCACCTGTGATCCACAGGCACCTGCGGTGTGACGTAGGTGTGCCTCTCCTCTCTTTACCGATGAGACCTCTGGGTGTCTCTCTCCCTGTCAGCAAGTCCAGTTACCCTACAAACAAGTGTTGCAGAGCTGACCTTGACGTCCTGAGACCAACCACTGCAAAATACCATGCCTGTATAAAGCATAACCCTTTCTCCAAGCACAGATCTCTTTCCCCTAGATCCACGGCCATGCCGTCCCGCCCGGTGCAGCTGGGTAAATAGAAAGGGCAAAAATCCAGAGAGATACCTTCACACTCCGACACGCCGCAGCCATCTTACCACAGTCTCACGCAAGCGCTGCTTCTGGACGCTCTCTGATTGGCCACGATGGAGGCGGGGCGAGATTGCGGAAGTGGGCGGGACGTAAAATCGCTTGTCAGCGGCTTGCATCTTCCCACTGCGCACAGTACTTCCCAGAGTTACTTCACTGAAGGAAGTAGCAGCAGCACAGTAAATAAATAAATAAACAACCCTCAGCGCTGCACATCAACTTGGAGCAAGTGGCTCTCTCTAGGGCGGGTAGAGGGGAAGGGAAATTTAAGAGCGTGTTCCTTATTACTCTGAAAAAAGGCTTCATATAGTCATACCTGAGAGTTGTCTATATATAAAGTTCTGTGTGTGGCTCTGTAGATACCCAGAGGAATAAAAAACATCATGTCTTAACGTGAGACTGACACCCAAGGACAGTAGATACAAGGGTCTGGAAGATCGCTCCATAGTTGAAAGCCTGCCTCATGGTGTGTGTGGGGGGGGGGGGGCGGGGGGGGGGCGGGCAGCTGGAATAGAGAAGAGATCACTAAGAAAATGATGGCTGGGGAATTGGTCGGCATAGGAGATGTGTGCTGAAAGTAGATAAATGACCAAACATGATAACTTCTCAGTATCTGTATTACAAACCATAATGCCTGAAAGTAGAGAGAAAGTATGGGGAATATTGTCTGCCATGGAAGCAGTGGGAGAGTGGGAAAGGCGGGGAGTTATACTGGGGGTATTGGTAGTGGGGAATGTGCACTGGTGGAGGCATGTGTGTTTGATCATTGTGTGATTGTGACTCAAACATGAAAGCTTATAACTTTCACGGTGATTCAAAAAAAAATTCATGTCTTCCAGGAGGGTACAGTACAAATGGGAGAAGAGATAATTACAGTAAGGACAGAAACAAAGGAAGGAAAAAGAGACTCAGAATCTAGGACTCAGACATGGCTATTATCCAGAAATGGAGATTCTGAAAGCCATATAAAGAAAAATAAATGTTTGGCCAACTCAGGTTCGATCCTCTGCACCCCATATGGTCGGTCCTCTGAGCCTATCAGGAATAAGGCCTGAGCACTGCCGGATATGACCCCAAAACAAAAACAAATAAAAAAGAATCACTAAGATTGTTTATATATTTTTTAAAAAAAGAAATATGGGACTAGAGCGATAGTACAGAGGAGAGGGTGCTTGCTTTGCATGCAACTGAGTAGGGTTTCAGTTCGTGTCTTCCCATATGGTCCCCAGAGCCAGCCAGGAGTGATGACTGAGTGTAGAGCCAGTGGTGACCCCTGAGCATCATCAGGTGTGGCCCCCCAAAAAAACAAAAGTGATGTTGAGGCAGTGATGACAGGAACAGAGACACCCACAAGGATCACAAAGATATGAATGTGAAAAGTCACTGAGAAACAAATGCTAGGAGGCCAGAGTGATAGTATAGTACAACTGGTAGGGCATATGTCTTGTATGTGGCCAAACCGCATTGGATCCTCAGCATTCCACAGCTCCCCCAAGCACTGCCAGAACAATCCCCAACTGCAGAGCCAGGAGTAATCCCTGTGTACTGCCGGTGTGGCTCAAAAACAAACAAAAACAAAAAATAAAGCAAAGAGAAGGAGGAGGAGAAAAGAAGAAACAGGTGTTGGAGAGATAGTACAGTGGGTAGGGCGCCTATCTTACACATGACAGATCCAAGTTTGATCCTGATCCCCACAGAGACTTATCTTGAGCACAGATCCAGAAGCAAGCCCTGAGCACCACTGGAAGTCATGCAAAACCAGAAAAAAGAAAAGAAACATATTAGGAGTCAGGCATTCTAAGGCAGTCTGCTGAGAAACACAAACCCAAAGAGGCATAATGAGAAAAGAAAAATGTCGTTTTAAAATTTATTTTATTGCATCACTGTAAATTGAAAAGTTAAAAAGATATTTATGGTTGACTTTCTGGTGTATACTGTTCCAATACCAATCCCTTCCCTGTGGGCCATTACCCCCCCATCAATGTCCCTCTCATGCCATTCTGCCTCTGTGGCAGGCACTTTTGAGGGGGATTTGCGGCTATTCCCTGCAATTCTAGGGGCTACTCCTGGCTCTGCACTCAGTGTTTGTTGTTTTTTCAGGGGTGGATGGCAGGTGTATACCTGGCTGTGTTCAGGGGCTACTGCTAGCTTTGTGTTTCCGGATCACTCCTGGTTGTGCTCTGGGGAAATCAGATGTTGTACCAGGGATTGAACCTGGGTTAGCTGCATGCAAGGTGAGGGCCATACTTACTGTACTTTACTGGCCCCCAAAAGCATCCTTTATCAATCTGGCCTAATCTACTGTTATCTAATTGATTAACAAAACCAAAAGGGGTGGGGCGGGAGGACACATAGAACAGGGTTAAGGTGTTGTCTTGCATGCAGCTGTGACCTAGAACCTGGTTCAAATCCGTGGCGCCATATATGGTCCCCTGAGTATCACCAGGCATGACTCCTGAGCTCTGCCAGGTGTACTGCCCCCCCAAATAATTTTTTTTGCTTTTTGGGTCACACCCGGCGATGCACAGGAGTTACTCCTGGTTCATGCACTCAGGAATTACTCCTGGCAGTGCTCGAGGGACCATATGGGATGCTGGGAATTGAACCCGGGTCGGCCACGTGCAAGGCAAACGCCCTACCCGCTGTGCTTTCGCTCCAGCCCCCAAAATAATTTTTTAAATGACCAAAAAGGCCAGGTGGCTAGAGAGAGACAGCTCAAAAAGCTGGAGTGCAGGTTTTGCATGTAGGAGGCAGTGCTCCATGTCTCCAAGAACTGTATAGCTCCCAAATAA